GAATCAGGAAGAAAAGCTTTTTTGAGAGCAGAGCTGGAGTGTGGGAGCTTCCCTCACCTGTGCCAGCAGGGCTGTGCTGTGACTGTGCTCTGGGCTCGCAGAGTGCTCTTGGGGTCACTCTGCAGCCATGTCCAGGCTCACCTGGGGTCAGTCTTCACAGGCACGGGGAGGGACTAAACACCTTCATGTTTTTCTGCCCAGTAGTGGCAACCAGTCCAGAGGGATTGGGGAAGAAGTAAAGTACTCCTAGGTGATGGAAAAGGCAGTAAGCCCACTCAGTAGGCTGAGTTTTGTCTGGAACGCTGGGAAAGCTGTTAGAACTCTTTATGGAGGTGTGGATGTGTGAGGAGCCTGAGTGCTGGGCTGGGATGAGATGGTATCAACCTTTCTTACAGCTGGGAATTGCTGGAAATACTTCTCTTCCTGCAAAGAAGTTCTCAACAGCTGCCAGCGTAAGACAGACAGCAACAATAGTTAAGAGAAAGTAAATTTGGATTTGCCTTACATATCTAGGCTGTCCTAACAGAGGCAATGCATTTGTATTTTATATATAGTGTTTATAATGCGAACACCAGATGCTGTTTGTCCTTCTCTTGAAGTGAAGGTGATTATGCTGAATAGAAATGCAATGGGATGAAATAAGCTCCTATAAAAAGGCCAAGCAGTTTGACTTGGGATTAAACACTGGCTGTAGGACCAGAAATACAGGTTTAAATCCAAGTTACATTCTTCCTTTCTTTTCCCTTCTTTCTTTATTTCTTTCCCTTTTCTTTAACTTTCTCTCTTTCCTTCCTTCTTTCACTATGATGTGCTTTGTGTTATTTACATAGTGTCAGGTGACTCATCTAAATGCAATCTCTCTCTGAGGCCATCAAACATGACCACAAGAATGACGAGGCAAATGCTGGAAGGGAACTAATAGTAATTCCAAAGCGTGGGCTCTACATCTGAGACAGATTCATAGCTTATGAATAGTTGGGTGGCACTGAAGACGTATACTTACATTCCCGATCTGTTTAAGGAAAAATTTAATTGCAGGTTTGGCAGGGCATCTTAGAGCCTACTATTAGTTTGCCTGCAACAAGGTAAACAACAGCTTACTTTATAAACAACGAAAGGCAGTCAGTATTCCCATTTACTTAATGGGAAGTTCAGAGATTCTCCATTCGAAAGAAGTGAAAATCCTGGTTGCAAAGTGGTGCTGCCTGACAGTTTCTGCCACGCACCTGGATGAATGTTACTGCAGATCTGGACTTGAATTAGCCTATGCAGATGGTGATTGTTCTTTGCACTTAAACTCTGCCCCCAAAGGTGTGTCTTTTCCAGGGGTAATACGATCAGCTTGGTAGTTTCTAGGCTCTTAAAAACAAATTCCTGCAGTATAAATACAGATAACAGAAATTATTGTACTGAAATCAACACTGCTAAAAGCAGGCAGAGTACCAAGTCCACACAGTTTGCTATTGTGAAGAAGCCATGGGATCAAAAAATGAGTCTACGTTTCTGAGCCCTGTTACCGAAGAGATTCTCCGCTGACTTCTGCTGGTTTAGAGCAAACAAACTGTTTCTAAATATTTAGAGAAGATTGAAGCTGCTACCTGAAAAACTGGAGCCAAAGTCTGAACTGATTTGAAATGAGGTCGTCAACTCTTAAGCAATTTTATTCATGGCAGGTATGGATTTGATTCCTTGAATTTCAGTGTCCTGTAAGGCTTCATTTTATTTCTCACAGCGTAAGAAATGCTATTACATGTGATCACGCTTCCTTGTCTGCTGCTATGTGTACCGTTCAGGCTACAGAAAGATTTGGGGATCTGCTGGCTGCCAACTTGCTTACAATGTTGTACCCACAGAGGCATCCATCTGATTTCATGGCACAAAACTGAAAGCAAATGCTGGTAAAGGGAGAAAACGGACCAGTTTGTTCCCACTGAGGTGATACAAGGGTCTTTTTTTCTCCTACAGTAAGTCTGGCAGTTAGTTTGGAAAACTCAAGGATGCGTTTAGTACCAGGAATGTGACCAAGCTTCCAGCTGTTGCTTAGTATGACTGAACGTGACTGTTGTTGGTGTTACTACAAGCTTTGCAGTAACTTATTTTCTTTTCCTTTTCCTGGAAGCTCCAATTCCTGTAGTCAAAACCAAAGTCATTCTAGCTCTGCTGGGATGAGGGGAAATTTTCAATAATTTTAGCTGACTGCATCACTGAGACAGTTGGAAAAGAACCCAAAATACAGTCAGATGTGAAGTTGTTTTGTTTTGAACCTAATGTCACTGTTTGGGTGCATTTTGTTATTGTGGTTTGAAATGATATCTGTAGAGGAAAGTATAGAAACTATGAACTTTGCATTTGAATAGTGATTTCATAGTGATTTCCATGGTGTGTAAAAGCTTAAGTCCACTCTGTGCTGACGTGATGTGAGGGTGTTCCAACTGGTTCCTCTTGTCTGTTGGGCAGATTAAGGCAATGTGACTCCCTTGCCTCCAGGCCACTGATTCTTTCTTTGAACCCAAGCTTCTCATCTTGCTGGCACTGTTAAGAATACTTTAAGATGCTTTCCTACTGCAAGGAGCCAGAGGGATTAGGCACAGGACTAATCATCCTATAAAGCTAAGGATGAATTCATACAGGAAGCAGCATTTGCATGAAGACCTGTAGTTTTTATGTCCTTAACGCGTTCTCTGATAGTAGCAGGTTATATAAAGAGGGAAGTTTATGTTTTTATGAACTCCTGAAGCTTTAAGGCAAAGGGATTTAGTTATCTTTGGATGCTTTGCATTTTCACATAAACAAAACCATCTCTCCCAGCACTAGCAAAGAGCTGTGAAAGCAGCAGAGGTATTTTGTACCTGCCATCTAAATCCCACACTACCACACCTGAATGATGCTTCCTGGTAAAGCTGCCCGGCTGTGCAAAACCCAGCCTGGAAGCAGGGTGTGCTGCTGTTGGAAGGTGAGACAGGCAGCAGTGCCTTCCCAACCTCCCTCCTGGCCCACGAGAGAACTGTAGAGGGATTGGGATCAAGCAGGACCTCTGTTAAGGTAAATTGAAATGTTTGTTTGTTTTACAAGATTCTTGGATGTTTCTGCTTTGGGAATGGCGTTGCTCATCCAAGGGCTGGTGCTGGTAACTCAACTCTGCAGACTTCGTTCTCCACTACTCTCTGTCTCTGCTTGAGTCCTTGCCTAAATGGGTGTTTGACATCCTATTGCATTAGATTTGTTGAAATTTATCTTATAGCCTTTTCACATGAAGAGTGCTAGAAAACTTCTATCTACTTTCAAAACACAATCCTTTGTCTCAGCCTCTGCATCAGCATTCAGCACTGTGATGAAGCCAAAGGGCTGTGGGGGCACTCAGTAAGAACTTGACACTGCTGCTTCTAGAAACAGATTTTTACTTCAGAATTGCTCAGAATCTGGGGGGGGGGGGGGTGGGGGGGGAAGTATGGGTGAGAGAAACTGGGGAGAAGGTACTGAATAAATATCTATTCCTTCAGCCAAAGCTGAGCTTCGGTGGGGTGGACCTGAAAGGAGGAGAAAAAAATACCAAACAACACCATGTTTATACAGTTTGCTTCATTGCATGATATCTCATCAGTACCAGTTACTTGTAGAAACAAGCTAGGTAGGGCTTGGGATGTTTTGAATAATAATAATGATACTATCGAAGGTGAATGGACCAAGTACTCACCTGACAGCCATTTGAAAACTGGAATTTCTGTTCCCTTAGACATTCTGGAACTTGAAATTTCTGTGGTGTAGAATTATTACTCAGAGCTGAATTTCTGATTTGGGATCAGAGAATTGATTTGTTTTAGAAAGAAGAAAAACTGATTTTCAAGTTACGTTTCTATCTGTAGCATGGAGACACAGGTCTAGTATATAAAGACACTGCAACAAAATATTTTCATGTAAATCCAACAATTGGACTTTCCTTATCTTGGTTCCAATCAGTAATTGTGGCAGAGAGGTGAGGGATGTGAAGGTAAAAGTGGAAAGCATCTGACCTGTCCTGCCAGCCAGCTGGAGCACCATGTGTGTTCCCTCAGGTTTCCTGAGATGTTGATCTTGTGTGCTCATCTCTGCATGGGAGTAAATTTGATGATGTTTTCCAAATCCAAGAGCTTCTGATTAAATGTAAGGGGATTATTTTAAGGCTTCCCCATGCAGTGAGGTCACTGCTTATTCAGGGAGGGTGTGAATTGATGGTAGATTGACCATAGTGTATAAATTCCCTTCGTGGCCATTCTTCAGGGACCTGTTTAGAGGCATCTTTAGAAACGGATGGCTCTGCTGAAGGCTCAGGGAACTTGAGGTCCTACTCATCATGTTAGAATAGTGCTGTGAATGTTCTCAATTTGCTGCAGGCAGTCTCAGGAAAATATACCTAGCTTGGCTGTGGATGCTTCCAGTGATACCTGTTGTGTGTGGCTAAGTTAGATGTCCCTGTAGCTGATGAGAGGAACTGGGTTTGCCCAAGGAAATAGCCCCCCCCCTTTTTTTTTTTCTTCCTGGCACTAATTGCTGGTGTGGCTTTCTGTTTGTTTGTTTATTTATTTAGTAATTAAGCTTGATGGTGGCAAGGAGGTACAATTTAAAAAGCAGAAGTATTCTACTCAGTCTTTTCTTTCTCTCCTTTCTGAAATGAAGGACTGTTCCAAATGAATGAAAGACCTTCAGTCCAAGGATCTTACTGAACGATATAATCACAGGCATGGTTAAAATGTGAGCGGGCACCATCTTTAACCCAAGAAATCCTTGGGAGAAAAAGGAAGGGGAAAAGCACCATCGCCCTTTGTAGGAACTGTGGGTATGCCTGACTGAGTTAATTATGCACCGGCTTGCTGCACACAGGTCATGTTTGAGTAGCTTGTGAAAGGCTGAGCTGGCCGCAATGCCGTGCGCAAAGATTAGCAGCGCTGAATGCGGTTTGGTAAGCACAAGGGATGCCAATTGGTGGGAAGCAATGCAACTGGCAGTGAGGGGAGGTAGCTGAGTGCAGTGAGCAGTGTACACAAAGATCACAGGTTACATCTGGGATTTCATTATGCATGCCTAATGAGCATGTTGATGAGAACTCCCCAGGCCGTCATAAAAGTAGCTGAAAAAAGAACTGCTGATAAGGCACTGAATAGCTTCTCTTGTAAAGCTTTCCTTTGGAGCTGAGATCTTTAAAGCCGGCAAAGATAATGGAGAGAAAATTGGACAATAAAATGCGAAGGGAGCTGTCCTGCCTCGCTACTTTAAACAACAAAAACATAACCCTGGTGTCCGTTCGAAAGCGGCAGGCAGCTCACGATGTGCCTGAACTACTGATTATTGGTGAGGGGTCCAAAGCGGGGTCTCCACTAGAAGCAAGCAGGAAGTTGCAGAAAGAAGAGAAAGTCTTGCAGCGTAACTCCATGGGAATGCCAGAAGTCAGTACAACTGGAAGGCAGGTCGGTGAGCTGCTGCGTGTGGTGGTGGGGAAATGGAGAATTTAAAGCTAAATGTGCTGGATGTGGATTGTATATTGATGTGCTAAATCTTCTGTATGCGAATCGCTTCCATTCTCAGCGTGACTCCATGCCCTCTAACAAGTAGTACACTGCCAAGGCCTCTGTGAGGTCTCTGAAATTAATCTTTGAAAGCAAATGGTAATGAGGTAGGCTATATCATTAGCTAATGAGCGTTCTCTTTTGGCTCCACCTAATAGTATAGAGTGGTGGTTCTTAGTAGGGAAACAAATGAGTGCTTCTCCTTATGAACTGTGATTGCTTGAATGCTTGAGTTGCTCGAGTGCTTGTGCTGGGTTATTTTCTGGAATCACAGAAATTGCAGAAACATTAAAACATCATAATTCTAGGTATGTCATTTACTTATAACTACTGGGGAGGCATTAACAAAACTTCATGGAAATGTAGCTGTGGCAATGTTTTATTTAGTTTTTAATTCAGAGTTATACTTTAGAGATTGATCTTTCTAGAACTCTTCTCCATGAACATCAATGCTGATAAAAACATTAAGAGTCTTATTAAAAAAAAAAAAAAAAGATTTTGCTTTTTAAAAGTTAATATTACAAATTGCAATAATTTGGGTTAATTGTATGTTTAAGGGGAGCAAACTCTAAGAACAAATATTGTGTGTTTTGAAACAATGTATACTTCGAATGGCTTAAGTGATTAGAGTCAGACTGGAAGGAAACAACAACAAAGACAGGCTGGCTGTACTGAAGGCTTGGTCTGTCTCTAGTTACTTCTCACTTTGTAAATGCTTGCTGTGAAACAGTCATGACATTACTTTATTCTGCCAAGAGATCCCTCTCCTATATTCAGTTCATTGCAGTATATTGTGTCGCTCCCATCACAGCCAGGAGCATTGCAAAGTGTTTTGCTTTGTTTTAATTCTGTGTTAGAAACCATCGATTTGCAAGAAGGTTTTTCTTTTTCCCACTAAACCAAGTCTGATTTATGTAGCTCACTTCAACTGAAAAGCACCCTCTGGGTCTCTAAAGTTTATCAAATATAGTGTGTGGATGTGGTATCATTTCAGAAACAAGTATACAAACATTTCTCCATCTTCTGTCTAATAGAGAATCCTGCTTCCAAATGAAACATGTGACTTTAAAATAATATTTTCATTGTTTCACAATTTCCAGTTGGGGAGGGTGTTTTTTCCCCTCTTTTAGTGTTCAAGAATTATTTGGTGAATACAGAGCCATGTTAGAAGTAGATACTAACATAGGTGACTACTGACATGTTCATCTTCACAAGGGGAAGAGGAAAGGAAGAGCAAGCATTTAAGGCCTGATTCAGTTAAACAGAATGTGCTAGCAAGATGGATGGGCAAGCTGTGCTGAGATTTGTTAAGAAAGATGGGAACTGAATTTCTGTCTCCTGCCACCTAGAAATGATGCTTCTGTAGGCATGAAACTAAAGACTGTGGACCTTTGATGTTCCTGAGGCTGTTCTGCCCTCATTTTGTTGTTCACTGGCAACCTCTAACAAAGTAGGAAAGCATCTGAAGTATTTAAAAAGCACATGGATTTCCAGTAGTGTGCTACTGCCTGCCTGAATCCAATGCTGTGAATCAGCAGGTTGTGAAAGAGGAGAGCAGGAAAGGTGAAAAAGCAGCACAGATGAGGCCGTTCTTCTTTGGCAGCTGTGTGCTTCAAGTTGAGAGGACAAGAGCCAATTTCAGCATGAGGATGTGTGGGGAGAAGGGCAGCTCAAAACCTTCAGATATGCCAGGTGAGAGGCTAAGTGAGACCTGGTGTTTGTGGGCAAGCAGGCAGGGAGAGGCAGAAAGGAATTTGCTGAATAGGCCAAGCCCTGTGTCCCTGCCCGCTGACAGCCTGGCGTTGTGAGGAGAAACCTGGCTCTTTAATTTCAGGATATGAAAATTGGTATCCAAGGCACAGGAGGGCCATCTGTGGCAAGGATTTGCGAGGTGTGAGGTGGTACAATCTGGAGAAAAAAGAAGCAGTGTGGCAGCAACAGGGAGATGGATGTCTGGATTAGGAATGCAGCTCCAGCCCTGGGAAGGAGCCACGGGGGGATCTTGGTTAGGGAGATGCTCAGGGAGCTACAGAGTTGGTTGTTTTTTTTCCTTCAGACCACCAGTTTTAGCTAAATGACGAACAATATGTTTTCACCTATTCTTGAAAAAATTGTGATGGCTCTTTGTGCAAAGTGTCAAGTGATGGTCAAGTTCTGGTGTTTCTGTGACTAACGGTGCATTAAAACAGTAGGATCAGTCGTTGCTTTTATGTTTTTCAAAAGATTGAATGGCAGAAAATGCCCTTCAGTCTTCTTATAAATTGAATTTGAATTGCTTTTATGTCTCTAGGTACCTAGAAAAATGGAAGTGGTTAGTGAGCATGGGGCAGAGGACAAAAAGGACATAAAAGCTGTGATACTGCCTATTTTCTGTCTACAAGTTGCTGCCAGAAGCATAGTGGACAGGAGCAGGCAAGAAGGATGCTTGTGTCATGTCACTCTGCTCTCATGCTGTTTCATCAGAAAATGCAGAACACCAAAGCCTTTGTCATCTGAGCCAAAGTAAATGCACACAGTGAGCTCCTGTAGTGCGTTAGGCCTTCTGCTTTGCTGGGTGTTTGTGAAGATAAGCGCTTCCCACCATGGCCAAAGTCTCTGCTGGGTTCTAAGGGGGTGGAGAGAGAGGCAGGAGAAGACAAGGAACAATTCTGAACTAAGCTTCTCAGGGCAGACATTAAAATAAGTGAGTGCTTGAGCACCATTTGAAATATGGTATTTGAGAGAGAGTTTCCTTTAAAAATGGGCCTTTTCCCAAATGTTGGGCCGTGTGTGGAGCCAGGAGTTGGACTCCATGATCCATACGCGTTCCTTCCAGCTTGGGACACTCTGTAATTCTGTGATTCTATTATATTGTTATCTTAAACTGGGAAGGCACAAATAAGAGGAAGTAAGCATGCCTTTTGTGCCCTTAAATGGGAACCATAAACTGTTTATATTTAATTTTGAAGACGAGGACTGCCCTTCTTCAGGGGAGGCAGTTTAGTCACTATTCCTGGAGATGTTCAAGAAATGTTTAGATGTTGCACTGAGTTTAGTGGGGGAGTACTGGTGGTAGGTGATGGCTGGGCTAGATGATCTTGAAGGCCTTTCCCAACCTTGATGATTCTATGATTTATGTCGAGGATTTCAGCAACTTCTGGGAAGGAAGTGCAAAAAGAGGGAAGTGCTATTCCAGGCACTGCTTGATGTGGAAGAGTAAGGGGGGAGTAAGGGGGCCAAATGAGGGGGATAGGGGCTAAAATCCATTTAACTCTTCCCAGCATCCCTGCAGCATAGTCACAAGACAGACGGAGCTGGGCACAGAAGGTAGGCTTGCCCCAGGATAGCAAGGAGCTGCACCGTAGTGTTGCAGAGCTGAAGGTGTTTGCTGCAGCTCCGGGCTGTTCTGAGCACCTGTGACACTGTGGTGGCTGTGGCCTCTCATTATCCACTCTTCTGGGGCCAGCCTCAGTGAAACTCGCATGGCCCCTGACACACTGTGTGGTTATGCCATGTGTGCAGTGAGCCCAGGTACTGTTGCGTGGTTTTGCAGCAGGGTGCTGGTTGTTACAGGACTGGTGGCATTAAACCAGGAGTCCTAATGGACACTAAGCTGAATGTGACCCAGCAGCTGTTGTCACTAAGAAGGCTGCTGGTATTGTTGGCTGCACTAGGCAAAGAACTGCCTGCAGGTTAACAGATGTGAGCCTTCTGTTCTGCTCAGCTCTTGTGAGGCCACACCTGAAGTAATGGGTCCAGCTGTGGGCCCTCTGTACAAGAGGGCCCTGCCAGCCTTCACCATGATGTGGTTCTGTAAACCAAGCTTGCACAACTAACGGGAGTCAAGATTGAAGACTCATTTGCTTTCAGTTTATTTACAGTCCTCCATAATTGTTCATGGCAAAGACTCAGGGAACTGATTTTCAGTACAGGTGACGGGCACTTCAGGAAGCCCATTTCTGCCTTCACGTGCAGGTGAGATTCAGAGGAATGTTGCATGTAACTGAAGCAATGGCTTCTGTCTGTTTGTGAGCAGTTGCTTTTCCTAGGAAATAAGGGCCTCCTGTTCTAATAAATACAGCACAGAGAAGACAAATTTTAATTTTTTCATTTTGGTCATGACCCAGACATTCATTATTCACAGGCTATCTAAGCATGAAACAAAATCAAGTTAATGGATTTTGAATACTGCATCAAATGGACTGGGTGCAGCCTAGTGTTAATAAGCAGCCTAAGTAATTCTCGTCTGCGCTGTACGAAGGAGACAGTTTTCTTCTCCGTGGCAGAAATGAGATTAATATTGTTGAGCTTGATCTGGTGACTCCTCCTCCTGTCCCTTCACTGCTGTAATGCTTGTCCCTCCCCTTCTGTGCCTTCCTCATGACTTGATGTAGGCAATGTCCTTTGATGGCAGACTTATGCTCTGATTACTTCATCCGTAAGATATGTTGCCTTTGTAATTTTCACTAATGCTTCATTTTTCAATTGAATGGAGTGCACTGAACCATAGAATTGTAGTATTGCAGATCACAATCTGATTGATGCATAGTCTACTTTGGGCTAATCTACTTCAGTAATGGCTATCATGCCCTGAAGATTGGCATTGGATCAAACCAGTAGGTTCCTGTAGCTCAGTATCAGGTGCCTCTTTATTAGGACCTCTAAAAGGGGTGGATGAAACTGAAAGATGGTGGAAGCATCTGCATACATGTATGGTTTTTTTTTTTTTTTTTTTTTTTTTTAAATCTTTGTGTGTAGATTTAAACTTCAGAAATCTGTAGATGCAGACAATCCAAACCCTTGTGCATGTGTGTACAGCTCTGCAGATAGCATGCAGCTGGTCCTGCCCGGTTTCAGGCTCTCAGGGAATTACTGAATCTGTTTTCTGTGGACCTTTTATTTTGTTTTCGAAGTGAGTAGGGCGAACTGAGCTAGCTGCTCACGTTTGTGGAGGGATGTTCAGTGTGGTCCCTCTTGTGAGCCTCTGTGCAGGTGGCAGTCTGCAAGGAAGAGCAGAGCTCAGGCTGCATGGTGAGAGTGCTTCAGTTATAGATAAATTGGGTTGGGACCGCTGAGAACATTTTGCTTTAGCTAACTGGTAACGTATTCCAAGTGTAAATCAATGCTGAGAAACACTTAAATGGAATATTGCTGCTTACAGCAGTAAGGATGCACACACTTTATTTTTATTTTGCTCTTTAGGTTTTGTCCAATGCTGACTCTCCTCCTAGCTGCGCGCTGGAACCTGAAATGAAACAGAATTTTGCTTTTGACAACATGGGCTACGAGGAGAGCTTTGAAGCCATGCCCTCACCATCTTCCCAGGAACGCACTGTTGCAGTCAATGTGGTGGGAATGACTTGCCAATCTTGTGTGCAGTCGATAGAAGGACGAATTTCCAAAGTTAAGGGTGTTGTGAGTATTAAAGTCTCCCTTGAACTGAATAATGCTTTAGTAAAATATCTGCAGTCAGAAATAAGCGCTGAACAGATTTGCCAAGAAATAGAGGATATGGGCTTTGATGCTAACATAGCAGAAGAAAAGTTGGCACCAGTGTCTGTAAATTTGCCGTGCTCGAGAGAAGCAGTAATAAAGCTTCGGATAGAAGGCATGACGTGCCAGTCCTGTGTCACCAGCATTGAAGGAAAGATGAAGAAGCTTCACGGTGTGGCAAAAATCAAAGTGTCACTCGGTAACCAGGAAGCAGTTATTGCTTACCATCCTTACATCATTCAGCCTGAGGAACTTAGGAGCCATATCAGTAACCTGGGGTACAACTGCACCATTAAGAGTAAATCGGCACCTTTGAAGCTTGGTGTGCTTGATGCCAGGAACCTGCAGAGTGCAGACCCCAGGGAGACACCAGCATCTCTTGAGAGTGAGGGTTTGCATCCGCTGGTTGCCAGCAAGAGCAGCACAGCTACGGTGACTGTACATATAGAAGGCATGCACTGCAAATCTTGTGTCAGAAACATTGAAGGAAATATATCCTCTCTTCCAGGCATACAAAGTATTGAAGTCTCCTTGGAGCATAAATGTGCTGTTGTACAGTATAGCCCAAATTTAATTACCTTGCCTGCTTTGCAGCAAGCTATTGAATCCCTTCCACCTGGGAACTTTAAAGTTTGCCTCCCTAATAGTTCAGAAGCAAATAGCCAGTCATCTCCATCTCCTGCTTTGGTGTGTGATCTCTTCAGAGAGCCACTGAAAGACACAACGTGCACAGCTGTTATTAGGATTGATGGCATGACCTGCAATTCCTGTGTACAGTCCATAGAAGGAACAATATCTCAGAGACAAGGTGTGCAGCATGTAGCAGTTTCTTTAGCTGACAAGACTGGGACCATACATTATGATCCAGCAAACACGAATGGAGAGGAGTTGAGAGCTGCCATAGAAGAAATGGGGTTTGAAGCATCTTTGCTGACAGGTAACAGTGTTTTGTCTTCTGTGATGCCCTTACCACTGGAGTAGATTTCTTCCTATGGGCTCTTCCAGCCTTCTACAGCATGCTGTGAGATCTGTCAAACTGACTGTTTTAATTTAAATTCCAAATTCAGATTCCAAAAACATGCAAACTTAAGGATGTTTCATTTAAAATCAATCTTTTTCTGGCTAAAATCCCTTCTTAGTGTCTGAATCATTTGATCTTTATTTCTTGAGAATTAATGCTAGGGACCTAAGCCTTGCTGTCAGCAAGATGAATGCCAAGATGCACAGTCTTTGGGAGCCAACACTACTTTTACATGTTAGCTGCAGCACAGTTTGAGCATGTATACAAATTCCACAATGTTTAAGAAGTTGCTATGGTGCAAAGGTGATCGCTGTGGAATGCATGAGTTGAGGTCTGAGTGCAGCAAATCCTTCCACTGCTCGTTTTGCAGTACTTGCATGATAACTGTTGTGTCATAAAGAGAAACCTGTTGTGAAGTTCTTCCTTTCCCTTTTAGGGACCAAGTGCTATGAGCTGTGTAGAAGGTAACAAAGACAAGATGAGTAGGAGGCTGGTTTGTGCTCTGTGCTGAATAAAGACCCTCTAGATACCAATGTATCTTTATTGAGCAGAGGTAGCTGTCAGATTAAGGTAGCTCTTTGATCTAGGCACTGACATTGGAGGCACTCGCTGTCTGAAAGTGACAAAGAGTTGTGTAGAGTTAAGTGGTCATATAAGTAGTGCAGGTGAGTGTGTATTATATACGTAATAACAATCTATCATTTTCTTCCACCAAGAAACAGAGATTACCGTGTCACCTCTCAAACAAGTAAGGGACTTTGCATGATTGCTGTAACCTGCTTGTAGTTTTGTGTCATCCTATTGCCCTGTAATTGGTGTCTGTTCAGTTTATTGTGCATTTGTTCAAGATATTGGGGCAGGAGAATACAAGCGTTGGCCTGATGCCAGTAACACTGCAGCGCAGCCTCCAGTCCCAGAGCCTCCTGGCCAGGGTTGTGTCTCCGATGCACTTCCAGACAGCCCTCATCCTGATGAGCCAAACCAGCCCAGCGGAGCAACAGCCAAGAAGTGCTTTTTACAAATCACTGGCATGACCTGTGCATCATGTGTGTCTACCATTGAAAGACATCTGCAGAAAGAAGAAGGTAATAAATTTGACGTTCCCGTAATGAGTCCTGAGGGACTGCTGGTTGGAAAACGTATTCTGCATGGTCAATGGAAGAACACCTTGTGGTAGAACATCTTGTGGTTAAATAGACTTAATATTTTCTTTGTAGAGCTAATGTGACTACGTCACTGTTTGTCTAGTGAGCCTACATGATGGACATAATTGTTTTGTAATAGTAAGTGGTTGGAATATGATCAATATTTCAAATTGGGATGAGAGGTAATGGCCTTAAGTTGCACCAGGGGAGATTCAGGTTAGATATCAGGAAAAATCTATTCTCAGAAAGAGCAGTGAAGCACTGGCAGAGGCTGCCCATGGACATGGTCTGTGGTCATGGTGTGGATGGTTTGATGGTTGAACGAGGTGATCTTAATGGTCTTTTCCAACCTTAATTATTCCCTGAAATAAGGCTCAAGACAAGAACAGAAAAGTTATTCTTATTTTGTTCTCAGGGCCTTGCTTCTTTACAGAGCATTCCATCACTTTCAAAGCTGTTGAGAGCTCTGCATTTGTGGTATGAAGCTTATTCTCTGGCATACATTTGCACAAGCATGCACAAATAAATGCATGGCTCCAGTGCCTGGGTAATTATATTGGTTTAGGCGCAGCAAGTCTTGTCAGGTTAGAAGTCTGCAGGCTGGCCATACAGAGAATGAACAGTCAAGCATCAGCATTGCCTGCTTTAATGCGTGTCAGCATGCCTTACTTGGGTTTTGCTTATTGATTCCCGTGTCTGCAGTTTCCCAATGCATGGTCTCCCTGCACTGATATAAAAAATAAAGAAATTACTAGCAATTTGTTTCCTGTGACTTCTATGCTTTGCTTTTTGATTGTAAATTTAGATTAAAAAAGAAAAAGAGCCCAATATCCAGTGGGATTTGGTTAGGGCTTTGCAAAATTAAGAAGGCCAGGGTAGAGCAGTGCAGAAATTGTTCATGAACTTTCTTTCTGTCTCTGACCACAGCCTTTTTTCCCATCTAACTGTTGCAGCTCCTCCTATTGCTGTATGGAACTTTGGTATGGCTGCATTTCAGTAAAAACTTTGCTGCTGTGACTGGCAAACAATGCTAGGAGGAGGCAGAAGAGAGATCACTAGACATGAAATGGCACTAAGCTGCTACAGTTTCCATTGAAAATCACATGTGATATTTGATTTTTCTTCCTCACAAACTGAACTGCTTTATCTAACATTCTTTATTATTGCTGCTGCAGGTATTGTTTCAGTGTTGGTAGCACTGATGGCAGGTAAAGCAGAGATAAAATACGAGCCTGACTTCATACAGCCTCTTGAAATAGCACAGTTGATCCACAACTTGGGTTTTGAAGCCACTGTCATAGAAGATCAATCAGAAACAGAAGGAAATGTGGAGCTGCTTGTAAGTAACATATATTTCAAACTGTGTGTTGATTTTGGATATGTCAGGTTCAGAAGAAGCATTTTCTTGCGAGTGCTTTTGTTTAAGGAGGTACGGCCTCAACAGATCAGTTCTGTCTAGTGATGATCATTTTGCTTAATTGCTAGAAAGAGAAAATCAATTTGTTTTAGAAGACCTTCAAAGCCACTGAAACAAAAACCAATAGTTGTAAGTATAGAATAGGCTTCTGTTAGCAGGGGGAAATGAAATGGGGAATATGTCTTCAAACGCCTGATGAGAAGGTTAGGGACTTTGTATAGAGATCTGAGAACACTGGGTGAAATAAGGACAGATTCTTTGAAAGTCTGTTTTTCTTCTTACATTTATACACAGTAAGACAGAAAACAACAGCCTCTGGTTATGCTAGTAGATCAGAAAGTGGGAATGTGCCATGCTGAGGATTTGAATTCAGATGATGATGTTAAACCTGCTACATATATATTGACTCAGGCAGTGTTAATATAGGCAGCTGTATTAACTGTACTCTTGCAGTAAATGCAATGTGCTGGTGGTTACAAATAAGCTGTTGTGAATATAACTGTTTGTTGCAGAATTTTATAATAATAGAAGTAGATAGTTATATTTGTATCCTTTAAGACAGCTCTATAAACTTCCTGCTGAGGCCTTGTGTCACTGCCTGCAGAGTTTGAACAGTCACTGGTATGTTTGTAACAGAATCTCAAATTCTTTAAACAAATATTGGATGAATATTTGGTTCATTAAAAGTGATGACAACAACAAAAACTTCCTTAAACACTGAAACCTGCACTGTGAGTGCAAAAGTGAAAATGACTGACGTACTGGACCTTCTTAGCACCAATGGTGAAGAGAGATTGCTAACTGTACCTAAAACTGTGTTTACTTCAGATTACAGGGATGACTTGTGCTTCCTGTGTTCACAATATTGAATCCAAACTTATGAGAACAAATGGCATATTCTACGCCTCAGTTGCACTTGCTACTTGCAAAGCTCGCATCCAGTTTGATCCTGAAATTACAGGACCTCGAGATATTGTAAAAATAATTGAGGTAGGTTTTAGAACATTTTGTTATAAACATCTAGAAGGTGTCCCTGCCTATGGAAGGGGGGTTGGAACTAGGTGATCCTAAGGTTCCTTTCCAATCCAAACCACTCCGGTTCTACAAGTCTATAAAATTAAGAAGAAAATAAAGCTGCTGATATTTGGAGGGTTTCACTGATTTTTACAGGTAATGTATTTATTATATGCATTTATGTATATGTAATGTATTTATTAATGTATTTACAGGTAATGTGTTTATTATGTAGTGAAGCTGCTATGCTGCACAGAAGTGTGTAGCTGCACAGTCTGTCCAGTCTATTGCTTTAAAAATACATCCCAAAAGTAACAAAAAGATGAAAAATCCAACAAACCCACTTTTTTTTTTTAATCTGGTAAAAGTGTAGAATCATGTGTCTCTGATTTCCAGTTGTTTCAGTACACTGTGGATACTATTTAAAAAAAAAAAAAACAAACACCAAACAACAACAACAAAAAAAACCAGAAAAACAACCTAATTTCTCTTGTCTCTAAAAGAGGCTATGAAAGAAGTCATGTAGCAGCAGGGAGGTAAGCCCTGCTCATATCAGGAGCATTACAAATCTCTGTATACACCGGCCTTTTTTCCCATGTCTACTCAGAGAGAAACCTTTTCAATCAAAAGAGTCATGGAAGGAAAAACATCCTGGCTTACCCATAACAGCAGAGGTCATAAGTTCTGCTATTATTGTAGCCCAGGTGTCGATAACACTTTTTCCTCTGCTTCAGCAGAAGGGTAGAGAATTTGTTGGATGAACCACACGCAGAAAGTAGTCGGGAGAATAGCTGAGTCTGTTTTCCTTTCATGCCCTCAGAGTATTTTGTTCAGCACTGCAGAGCTGATGTGACAGCAGTGATCAACATATAAGTAGTAGACCGTTCAGACAGGTAGAGCAGTTTTTTGAGGTATATCTTGCCACAGGATCATCTCATAATACAACTGTTATGATTAATTTGGGGGGGAGGAGTGGTTGCAAGGCAGTAAGATGTGAAGGGGTCAGTCATAACTGGATTCTTGCAAATATGTATACATATATATAGCTTTTCCCTGCAGTTAGCTTTATAGGTTTAAGCTGGTTCTGGTAACTTTGATTATCAACTTCAGATGTATCTATTCAACTGCCATGTTAAGGAGATGTTAGCAAGGTTTACTGCCTGGTAGCTTGTATACATTTTTAACTTTCTTTGTGGTGTTTTCTATCCATTGTATTTAAACCAGTGGGGATTAAAGGGTGTAAAATTGCTAGGAGGAGGAGAGCAACAGAATACCTGCTGTCAATGGGAGCTGCCTTTGCCTAGGAAGCCAGAACACTTACTGAATTACGACTGTGTTGGTGTATAGATAACACAAGTACTTTACAGTCCACATACTGAGTACTATCTGATATACCCTCTTGCTGAGGATCTGAAAATAAACAAGATGGCATTTATTAAATATGGAGCAGTGTCCTTTTCTGACATTTCTTCTAAAAGTAGTGTCATTTAAATATGTTCTAAGTAATATAGTTAGTCTAATCAAAAGTAACTCATCTTCCCTCCTCTTTTAATAAAAAGGAAATTGGCTTTCATGCTTGTGTGTCTAGAAGAGTTCCAAATACACATAACTTGGATCATAAAAAGGAAATACAGCAGTAAGTACTTCACTTCCTCACTCACTAACAAATGTATGTAGATCATCTCTTGTAACACACCCTCACTTTTCTTAGTTAATTTAGCTTATTCTTGTGTAAAACATATTTCATTTTATGATTTGCTATTTGGTTCATATACTTCTACTGCTTTCATTAGTTGTGGTTTTTAACTGATAAACGACAATACATTTATTTACCTAGGAGACAGTAAAACTGTCCTGATGTTTTGGTTCTTTCCCAAATATCCTGAAGCCGTGTGTCAGAATAGCACTGATACTCCTAGCTCTGTATTGTCAGCACGGTGTTTGACCTGGGTACTGCAGGGTATGCTATGACTGGGGATTTACAGCTTCTACTTTTCAGGTGGAGGAAGTCTTTTTTGTGCAGCCTTGTGTTTGGTATTCCTGTCTTAATCCTAATGATTTATATGCTAATACCTGGCGGCGAGCACCATGGGGCTATGGTGCTGGAGCAGAATCTCATTCCTGGATTATCTATTTTAAATCTTCTCTTCTTTGTCCTGTGCACTTTTGTTCAGGTATGTCCAGAGTATTTCTTGGAGGTTTGCTTTTTGTTCATTTCCCATTTATGTAATCTGATCTGATAAGGATAGGAGACCTATGGGAAGGTTTAGTGGATTATACCTGCTCTCTTGTCTGTGACACCTATGTAGAATGAAGTGACACTTCTTTGCAAATTTTCAATTCTTAATTGCTCACTGCACTCACTCCTGCCACTGGTGTGCCATTAGCATTTCCAAGAGGGGAAGTGAATATTAAAACAAATAAATACCTGATCAGGTGTAAGCTGTTCAGGTAACTGTAGGTAAATCCTTTCAACTTCCTAGCTTTGTTTATTTTGCATTTCTAGGAAAAGGGTAGGGTCTGCCAGGATTTAGCTGGCACAGCTGTTTAGAGAAAGTAAGGGCAAGTGAGAGGATAACAAGGGATTCAACTTCCAGTAGATCTCTCCACTAAAGTTATATTGAAGTAAAACTCAGATGGGACAGCCATCCCTTCTGTTACCTACTGGTGGTATTATATTCCCCTTGCTTTCACTGCTCTGATCTTAACACGTGCCTGTCTACTCTTACACCAACAGTTCCTTGGTGGATGGTATTTTTACATACAAGCTTACAAGTCATTGAAGCACAAGGCAGCCAATATGGATGTGCTCATCGTTCTGGCCACAACGATTGCTTATGTGTATTCATGTGTGATCCTGTTAGTGGCCATAGTTGAAAAGGCAGAGGAAAGCCCTGTCACTTTCTTTGACACTCCTCCAATGCTGTTTGTATTCATTGCCCTTGGGAGATGGCTTGAACATATAGCAAAGGTAACTCATTTTCATGTGAAATATTGTGTATTTATAATGAGAATGGAATAAAACTGTTCATGTGAGTTTGAGTCAGATGTTTCAGGTGTGTGAAGTAGGCTATAGTAATGGTCATTTAGAGTTCATTGTTCACCTTAAGCAGACATCAGCATTTATGTATTCTGTGTATCTCAAACATCTCCTTCCGTTTCTCAGAGTAAGACCTCAGAAGCTCTTGCTAAACTTATATCTCTTCAAGCCACGGAAGCCACTGTGGTGACTCTTGGACCTGACCACACTATTATCAGGTATTTACATTTCATGAAGCAAAATATTCAGCCTACTCGGATGCGCAGACTGGGCTTGAAGCAGTTACTGTGAAACCATTGCTATGGCTTTGAAACTTGTGACATTAAATGAGCTGTCCTTATTTTTGTCTTTTGTAGAGAGGAGCAGGTACCTGTTGAACTGGTTCAAAGGGGTGATATTGTAAAGGTTGTTCCAGGTGGAAAGTTCCCAGTGGATGGGAAAGTCATTGAAGGCAATTCTATGGCAGATGAGTCTCTCATTACTGGTAACTTCTCTTACACTTGTGCAAATGTGTGAAACCTTCTGTAACTTCTCACTTTAAAAGCGAACAGGACAAAGCACAAGGTGTTGTCTAAATAACCTCCCATCTTAATGAGCTCTTTTCCTGGCCTTTGTGAGCTTCAATCCAAATCCTGTATCTGCATACATATAAAAAAATTGAAGAATCTCAGCTCAATTTGGTCTCTTTTACTAATGTACTGATGGGATGTGCAAAGGCTGAGCACTGTGGTCGTTATTCCAGAGATACGGTGGGAGTTTCTGATGGAATATATTTCTAGAGAAGATGCATTTTCAGCAGTGACTTCTAAAGGAAATATTGCTCAGATGTTGAAGTCATACACATAGACATCAAGGCTTCCAACAAAGATGGCCAAGGGGGCAAGGAGAGGGAAAGAAAGTCTCATGACTTGGTGCTTGTTAAGAGTCATAGAACTTGTTCAGTTTCTGAGATTTCCATTTCATTTCCTAAATATAAATAAGAATTACACAATCAAATAAGTCCTAATTATAAGTTGAAGGATCTAAAAACTTCACATTGTTATCGGCTTGCTTGATTTTAGTTATGTATTTACTTTGGGGAAAAGAGACACCCTTAATTTTAGGAGAACCAGTCATTGTCACTAACCTTAAGAGCAGAAAATAGTGGTTTTGTAGAGATTCTTAAAGCAACAGTGTGAGAATGTGGACTTTGCCCCAGAGTAAACTTTCTTGGTTTTTGAAAACTGAGATTAGTGGAAATGGAGACAGGCTTCTCAAACTCCTGTGGCTGCACAAAGTTACCAATTGGAGGAAATTTCTAGAGGTTCCCTTCAGTATGGATCTCTTCCTGACCTTTTTGAGGGATGGCACACCAGAGAGCTAGGACCAAGGACACTTCTTTTTCCTTTGATGTTAATCTGACAAAAGGCTGGGATGAGTTGCAGCTCAGATATCCAGAGCAAAGTGGCAAATAGGAATTTCCATAATGCAAATGCTTGGGATCTTTTGTTCTGGAGCAGTTTATGGTTTCCACCCACCTCCAGCCTCTGCAGTTCATGGTAAATACCACACCAAGCAGTGTAGTGTTATTCCAAGCAGCAGTCTGTATTTGTTAGAGGATTGATAAACTTGATTGTGTTTTTAGAAGATTAGGCTGATTATTGTCTAGTTACTCAAATAAAGCCTTGCCCAAATTCCTTCAGCAATGAAGGAATGCGTTAGATGGCTGATGCTGACTTTACCTGCTGGTATTATGATGCTGAACTTTTTTAATATGAGGAAATGAAAGCAGAGAAGCATAAAGCATAAGATCTAGTTTCTGTCCTGCATTCTAAACAATCACAGAAACCAGTGGTGGCTGAGCCATCTCCATGTTGCATACAGATTCCAAGTTCTGTAACTTTAGGAGCTGTGCTGTCTTGTTCACGGTCCCTGGCTCACAGGATTTCCAAGCTTTGCCAAATCACAGACTTTTTCTACTGAGATGCAGAGAAAATTTATTCTAAATCTTTCCTGGTTTTTCACAACCTATATCTTGGGTGCCCCAGAATTATCTCTCTTCTCTTACAGTGGCCCTGTCACTTTCACAGTTTCTTCTGTGATGCATTTTATAGCCAATCAGAAAGATGACCTCCCTTCCTGTACACCTCAAAGTTTCAGTGAAGACATGAGAAACTATGGCCTATTTTATCAAAATCTGGGATTAGAGACTGTTCATTCATACTAGGATACATTCAAACATCGGGGTGCAGCATCTGTACTGTGCCTGATAGAAAGACTGAGCGCTGATGTTTGTAGGCTAGGGATTATGTTTCTGGAGGCTGGAGAAGAGCCCTACATCTCTGGCAGGCTGAAAAGGAAGAGCCAGAAATCACAGACTCATAGAATGGCCTGGATTGAAAAGGACCACAGTGATCATCTAGTCTCAACCCCACTGCCATTGGCAGGGTTGCCAACCACCAGACCAGGCTGCCCAGAGCCACATCCAGCCTGGCCTTGAATGCCTCCAGGGATGGGGCATCCACAGCCTCCTTGGGCAACCTGTTCCAGTGCATCACCACCCTCTGTGTGGAAAAACCTCCAGCTAATATCTAACTTAAACCTCCCCTGTCTCAGTTTAAAATTATTCCCCCCTTGTCCTATCACTATCAAACCCATGTAAACAGTCATTCTCCTTCTTGTTTATATGCTCCCTTCAAGTACTGGAAGGCCACAATGAGGTCTCCCCAGAGCTCTTTCTTCTCCAGGCTAAACAAGTCCAGTGTCTTCAACCTTTCCTTATAAGAGAGGTGCTCTGGCCCTCTGAAATATTTCTGCTAAGACATTTGCTTCAAAAATAAACCTAGAAAAAAGGTTTACAGAAGCATGGCATCACTTATACATGCCTTCAGAGGACTGAGATATACAAGGTGTGATTTCATGCTGTTATTGTTTATTGTGCTGATTTTGCTGGCGTACAGTGAGTGTGCAGTGTACTGTGTTCATTATCATTAGAGGTATTTGCACTGGTCTGATGCATTTATTTTCGGTGTTTCTTTCCAGGGGAAGCTATGCCTGTCACTAAAAAGCCTGGGAGCACAGTGATTGCTGGCTCTATAAATGCACATGGCTCAGTTCTTGTTAATGCAACTCATGTTGGTAATGATACCACCCTGGCACAGATTGTGAAATTGGTGGAAGAAGCTCAAATGTCAAAGGTAAAAGTAAGAGAAAATGAAACCTTATTCATCAATTTTGATTAAATAAGAAAAGATTCTGTATTTTGACACATTTATGTAACCCGTGATCTGTGTTTTTCCAGACTTCAGAAAATAATGGACTGTTATTTTCATTAATTCTGCATATTCAGTGTTTTGATCATAAACATGCAAAATGTCTGTTTTTCTTTTTTATAGGCACCAATCCAGCAACTGGCAGATAAGTTTAGTGGATATTTTGTTCCATTTATCATCATAATTTCTACAGTGACTTTGATAGTATGGATCACAATTGGTTTTATAAATTTTGATATTATTCAGAAATATTTTCCTGTAAGTAATTTGATTAAGGGTTGGATTTCCTTGTTAAGCTATCTCCCACTGAAATGAAAATACTTTCTGTTTGTAGGGCTTGACGTTGTACAAAGGTGCTTGCCAGGTTACAATGTGGTATTTTCTACACAAAGGGGATGATTACATTAATTAAAATATATTTGTGGGTGTAAATATACTTGTGCATTAGCCCTCCTTGCTGCATAGGGTTCTTATGAACTGAAATGATAAGCATTCCTTCTGGATTAAGCATGACTTGTAGCTGCACTGCAAGGAGCTGAACCATTCCTATCATGCTTGGAATTTTTTTAACTCCCTGTTCCTTGGCAGATAGTGGGTTTGACTCCAGAAGAAAAATGAATTTTTCTTATCTTTAGGATGTGTATTTGCTGTGCTCAGCAACTGTGGGTATCTGTGCACCTGGAAATAGAGTTATTCCTCATTAGATGAGGAAACCAGTGCTGGCAATTCACATCATCTGAGAGCAGAGCCATTCTGTGACACCCATCAGTGTGAGGATAATTCTGATGTATCCCCCATGGGTGATGAGCTCACTTGGATGTTGTACAAAATCTGTTTTAGTTCATGAAATAAGAGGAGATTCAGGAATGCTTACTTGCTGCTTTCCTGAAGTTACTGAGTTCAGGTCTCTGTGGAGTGAGACTCTGCATGTTCAGCCTCCTAAAAATCCTCTTGCCACGATGATGGGGACAGTGTTTGTACTCTGAAGGCAGAATTCGCCCTCAGAACACTGCCCTTTAGTTGGTGTCTCTGATCTGCCCTGAACATAAGGCAGTTACTGCAGCCTCCCCATGCTGTTAGGCTGTGTTTAAATGCATTTTATCATAGAATGGCCTGGGTTGAAAAGGACCACAATGATCATCTAGTCTCATCATCTGTCCACTTATGTAAACATCCATTCCCCCTCCTGTTTATACGCTCCCTTCAAGTACTGGAAGGCCACAATGAGGTCTCTCTGGAACCTTCTCCTTTCCGAGCTAAACAAGCCCAGTTACCTCAGCCCTTCCTCAGGAGAGGCGCTCCATCCCTCTGATCATTTCAGTGCCCTCCTCTGGACCCGCTCCAAGAGCTCCACATCCTTCCTGTACTGGGGGCCCCAGGCCTGGACGCAGTGCTGCAGATGGGGCCTCACAAGAGCCAAGTAGAGGGGGACAAGCACCTCCCTCTCCCTGCTGGCCACCCCTTTGTTAATGCAGCCAAGAACACAGTTGGCCTTCCGGGCTGCAGGCGCACACTGCTGGCTCATGTCCAGCTTCTTGTCCACCAGGACCCCAAGTCCTTCTCTGCAGGACTGCTCTCAAGGAAATCTTCCCCCAGTCTATAAGAATGCTAGGGATTGCCTCGGCCAAAATGCAACGTCTTGTAGTGTATTTATTATTTATAATGTTTTATTTACAGTTTAGGTAGGCTATATTTCTTAAATAGGTGGCCAACAGGAATTCCTGAAGAATATGTGCTTGAGTAGCAAGAAAGCCACAAGACACTGGCATAAACAATTCATAATGTTCATCTTTCTGTACTATTACAGTAGCAATTATAAATTATGTTCCTATAGTTGAGGTTTCCTGGTAAATGTGTTTTTTGAGATGGCTATGATTGATCGTGCATGTGTTATCTTCTATCAGCAAATTGTTTTTTTCTTTTTTTGCCTCCTCTCCTCCCTCTTCTTACAGAATCAGAACAAGCACCTTTCAAAAGCTGAATTAATACTGAGGTTTGCATTTCAAACCTCAATCACTGTGCTGAGCATTGCATGCCCCTGTTCTTTAGGCTTGGCTACCCCAACAGCTGTGATGGTGGGCACAGGAGTTGCTGCGCAGAACGGTATTCTCATCAAAGGCGGAAAACCTCTGGAAATGGCACACAAGGTTAATTGTTCTTTCTGTACCTTTGTAGCTTTCCTAGCTGTCGCCACATCAAATATAGTGTCTCAGGAAATCTCTCTGATAAAAAGAAAGGCTGCAGATTTTATTTCCCGTTAGCAACTGTTCATGGTGGCAAGGAAGATGACTTTGACCTTCTTTCTCCACAATCCAAAGTAGGCGGCAAAGTGTTGAGAGGCAGCAGTTTCAGCAGTCTGTTGCCTTTGAGGCTGCTGATGTTCTGCACGACCTTGTGAGGTCTCCAGCATTCATGCTCTCTTAGCTTCTTTCCAGAAAGCCAACATTTTTCTTCTTTGAGGGCTGATGTGAAATATATGTTGTTCGTGATCAGTGGCTTAAAATGTAGGAGAAAAACAATGTGGTTGGAAGTTGTTTTAGTCTAGGGAGGGGAAGATAGATGGGTGGCTGAAAAAGCCCTTCAAACAGATGATAAGAGGAAATGGAGAAAGAAGGACTTGGCATGCCCACAGTCAGTAAAAAGAAGATGAGTTTACACCATGCTGTGAAAGACTGAGTTGGATACAAGCAGACTAAGGAGAGGTGAAAAGGATAATGAGAATAAATTAACCAGACTGACAGTAATTCTCATTCATTCAAACGTGTGCACATTCACATAAAGCAAGTGCTGTGATGTTGAGATCCTTGTATGGGTACAGCATGATACTGCAGCTTCAGCTGTACAAGGAATGAATAAGAAAGCATAAGGAGATCTACTGCACAGATGGTCTATGGTTCAGGATTTCCTGGGTTTTGTAGGTTTATTCAGCTTGTTTTGGTTACTGTCAACTATTTATTGATGTCTTGCCTGTATTTATGTGCTCAAATCATGCAAGATCCCTTACGTAGCTTAGGCAGTAACTCTGGTTTATTTCTTGCAGATCAAGACTGTGATGTTTGATAAAACGGGAACCATTACTTGTGGAGTTCCTAAAGTCATGAGGGTTCTTCTGCTGGGAGACACAGCTGTGCTCTCTCTGAAGAAGGTACTGGCAGTGGTTGGCACTGCAGAAGCCAGCAGTGAGCATCCTTTAGGAGTGGCGGTCACTAAATACTGCAAAGAGGTACTTAGACTTACTGTTTCACTTCAGATCTATATATGCTGTGTGAAATCAGCAGATTCCAGAAGGAGATGCCTGTCTGAAAAGTAACTGGCTGAGAAGCTGGTAGATGTTATCTTAACCTGCACAATACCTGGGAGGCATAATCTAAACTTTGCTTTTGTGGCCACGCTACGGAGTCCTCGAGCAAGATATTACTAAGTTTTGCCAGACAATGACAAAGGATTGTAGAATATATGCAGGAGGAACATGTAAGCTTAAAAAAGCATCGTGAAGCAGAAGTGTATGGTGACATTTCACACATTACCTGATTGTGGTAGTCACTGCTATTAGTCAGTTGCTTATCTGAACAGATTAGTCAAAAAGCTATGGAACAAATATGAATATTAAACTGTGATATTTGTGAATTTCACAAGTTGATTACTCATGCCTGCACAAATCCTGCAAATCCTCGGAAAACCTTTATATATTGTTTGTGTTCATTAAATGTTTCAGGAAGAATGAAAGCATAATTAGCAACAACATAAGAAGCCTGGTTTAAATAACTTCTTTCTACTAAGGCAGGTCACTGAGCTACTTGCCATTAGATGATGAATCTTAAACTTATTAATGATAGATCTTTCAGTGATGAAGTTTAGAAGTTAACATGTAAATTTAGAAGGAAAAAGTAAGTGTGGGTAATGATTCAGTGGCCCCTCTTGTATTTCACATTTCCTGTTTTTCAAATTTGTCTTAGTTCCCCAGAAATTTCTGTGGTTATTGTATGCATCAGTTATTACTGTCTATAGAGTTCTCTGAAAGGTACATATAGTTCTGATTTCTAGAAATAACTCACAATAAATTGTTTATCAAAGAATGTGGGTTTTTTTTTTCCCATTCTTTTTGCAATTTATATGACTGTAGTTATATATATAAAAACTGAGCTCACGCAGTCACTTGTCTGTGTGGCTAATTAAAAGCTGCATCTTTCCAGAGCTCTATGGCTGATTTTTTGTAGTATTACTTCTTATTTCCCAGTCTTGGCTGAAGTTGTAAGCCACCACTGTACCTTCTTCATCTTTGAACCACCAGGAAACGTCACCCTTTTTGGTTTGCTTGTGCTAGGGCTGAGACTGGGATGTACTCTATTGCTGTTCGCTTCAGAAGTATTATTTATCCCCAGCACATCTACAACACCTTTATTTTTATTTCTCCACTACTGATGCTCCATGCTGCTTTCCAGTCTATCAGTCATTGTAAAGAGGAGGAACACAATCTCTTTTTGATGGCAGTTATCTAATGTTTGTACCGCGTACTGTCAGCACAAACTGATGATGAACTCTGGTTATCTCTGCAGGAGCTTGGCACTCAGAGCCTGGGATACTGCACCAACTTCCAGGCAGTCCCAGGTTGTGGCATCAGCTGCAAAGTAGGTGGTGTTGAGGCTGTCGTGGGTGTGGCTGATGAGGGTGTTGATAAGTTGGACGCTAACAAGAGTGGGGACAGCAGTGCTCTTCTGGGAGATGGCGCACTGATCACACTCTCTGAATCGAATGGTATGTCTGCCCCCAAAGTCACTGCTAGTTGTAGTCCAAGGGCTCATGAATCTACAGTGCTGAGCATAGTAAAGCAATTCTACCAGACTAGGCATAGCAGAAATGAAGAAATTATGAGAGAGAGAGAGGCAAAGAACACGAGGGACAAAAAGATGTCTTTATAGAAATTGAAAATCTCCTTTCCCCTACCTTCAATTGCTTTGGAATTCAGAAACCTAATTAAGGATTAGATGATACAGTGATTGATACTCCAAAAGTCGGTACAATACACGAGCAATACCCAGCAAGGTGCCTTTTGGACAGAAGAGTGGCCCAGCAGAGAGCACAGTTTGCCAGTTAACATTATCTTCCTCCATAGAGAAGTTACATTCAACGTATGCTATCTTATTGCTCCATTTTTTTTGTCCTACATTTTAGTTCCATATTACTTTGGACCTTTTGTCTTCTATTCAAATATCTCTCAAGGTACTTAATTAAAAAAATTTATTCAGCAGTGAAGCAGGTTATATCTGCAAACTGAGTTTCAGTGCCTGATGCTTTTGATTTAGCCAGTGCACTTATTTTTGTTTTGCGCTCAGTGAAGGCACTTGCTCTTTTGTGTCGTATGGGGGAATGAATACGCATTTAAAGTCCTCCTTAAGAAGCTCATCAGTTCTTTTCAGCAGATTGTATCTCTTGACCTTTTTGAGGAAGCTTTTAGAAGAATTAAAATAAGAACTTTAATCATCAGAACTGTGCCATTTGTGAGCAGCGTTAATGTAATATTTTCTCACCTGCCTCAGAGGGCTTTTTGAAGTTGCGTTGAATTCATAATGAAGTGTCTGTGTGCTGTTTCATTGTTTGCTAGAACAAAACTACTTTTCTTAGAAGAGACTTTGTATTTGAAAGAAGTAATTATTTGTGTGAACAGTGCAGCACGCTGCACTTTTTGTGAAAAACAATGCAAACTCACAAAGGCAAATCTGTGCAAATACTTCCAATAAGTTTATGACGCAACTCTGTTTATAAACAGTGAGTCTTGAAGGAGAAAAGTTTTCTGAGGCTGTCATCAGTTAGCAGCTGCACATACGTGTTTGGTCATGGCAGTAGCACTTGAAATGAGCCTCAATATAAAGTGTTTTGGATGTGACCTTTGCTAATCAAAGACACACACAAGAAATAAGAAGAGCTCTGTGAATATATTTGTATAGCTAATGCAGCCTGAAACTGTCATTTCAAACATCTCTGACGTGTCTACTATTTTTAAGTCTCCCCTTATTCTTTTGTCCACAAACAAAGGTTCATCATCTTCCCACACATACTCAGTATTGATTGGAAATCGTGAGTGGATGCGACGGAATGGCTTGCATATTGCAAACGATGTCAATGATGCCATGACAGACCATGAAACTAAAGGACAGACAGCCATATTAGTGGCTATAGATGGTAACGACTGTGACTTAATAAACATCAGTTGATTGTACCATTGTAAGGATAAAAACAAACTAAAACAATCGGTGGATTAGTATCAAGAAATTACATATTATTTAATACAGAACTGTTTGTAAAAATGCCAAAGTATCAGGTGTTCTTAAAAGGTATTTCTTCTCAGAATAGAGTTTATAAGACCTTGCTGAGTAGTTTTTAATTTAAATGTTATTTTCCAAACCTCCTGCTTCCAAAAAGTGTGATGTGCAGCGTGTACAACTGCACAAATGTGTCCTGCCCTGTCTTTGCGTTGCTTAAGGATTACAGGCTGACCTGCTGCATCTCTGATATCAAAATATTTCCTTAGTAAATGTGACAAGTCATTAGATCATTCAAGTATAAAAGAGACAGTAGATTAGACTAAATGAGTTTTGCCAGAGGGTTTCTATTCTGTACTACACAGAAAGGGAACCTACGCAAAGCGTTAATAAGAGAAACTGCTGTAATGGTGATAAGTTTCCATTGGTCTGTGATCTTGATATGGGGCCTCTGATTTAATTAGTGAAAAAATAATTTTCTTGTGCCCACAGAGAAATTTTCAGAGGCATCTGCATGTTTCAACCAGGGCTCTATTAATGTCCAGAAAAATCAAGTTCTCTTAACATGGAAATCAGGGCTCTGATGTATACTCAGTGTTCCTAGCATTACTGATGATGGTGACCAGAGTAACAGATGATGAAAACCTTCTTAAATCATTGCTTTTTAAATATAATATGCAATAACTTTAGATTGTTGTAATTAGTATGGATACACCTTCCAGATAATAAGTGTTGGGTACAGCTTTCCTGTCCAAAAGTAATTAATCCAACCCTGAAAGATTTAGAGGATATAAAAGCAAATATTCTAAATGCTGGAGGAATGGTTTCAACATCTGACGATTACAAAAACTTCCCATAGCCCATAGTTTTTTTTTGTATGGGCAAAAATGACTATGTCAGGCATGTTTAAAAGCGATCATGCTTCCCTTCTGCCTGGTTCCTAAGTATCAGAGGAGTTTTGTTCTTAGATCTGAAAGAGGTAAATTAGAAAAGCGTGTGTGTGAGTGTGTGTAGATAGATAAGAAAATTTAAGTCAGTGGTTCAGGCTTGTGAAAGCCAGTATTACCCAGAAAGAGTTACTTTTCCATACTGTGACAGAAAGAGTCCTGTTCTCTTGCTACCACTTTGCTGCCCACAGCTCTTTTTAACAGAGCACGTTTCTTTGTGAAGGTGTCTTGTGTGGAATGATCGCAATTGCAGATACTGTCAAGCAGGAGGCAGCCCTTGCTGTGCACACACTGAAAAACATGGGAATAGATGTGGTGCTGATAACGGGTGACAACAGGAAAACTGCAAAAGCCATTGCTACTCAGGTACCTTCTTGCATTTTACAAAATGTGTGATGGCTTTCTGAAATTCTGCTTATTTCAGTGAATTAGGACTAGGCACTCAGGGTTTCCATGTGTATGTTAAAGAAAGACTAACTTTTCTTGAACCAGACTGAACTCAGGTGAACATTTTAGTGAGAACTACTGGTGATTGGTGGACGGTTGAACTGGATGATCTTCTAGGTGTTTTCCAACCTTGGTGATTCTATGATTCTAAGTCCTATGGCATAGTAAAGGCCAGTGACTGCATTAAGATCCCACTGAAGACAAACATTCAGTACCTCTTCAGGTGCGTTGAGTTTCATGCAGCAATTACTTCATTGCTGAGCTGAAGCCTTCTAGTTCCATTCACTGAAGGGTACTTGTGTTTCCTTAATGAAGAAGGGATGTGCCTTTAATGTCTAGTCTGGTTCCTAGTACAGGAAGTGGGGATTTGCCATTAAATTTAAAGATAACATAGTAATGAAAATGATTCTTATTGTTAAGAAGCATAGCAATCTAAAAGAAGTAGAGTGCATGACATTTCCTTGATCACAAACTATAAGCAACCTTCCAAAATCAAAGCCAAATACTGACTTTACCTTGTAACATTTATACCCTCTCCATGTCCATTTCCCACTTGCACTTTGCACTGGTCTACTCTTAATCTACTGTGTGCCTCTGTGTTGCTTTCTTCATGTATACAAAGAGCAAACTCAGCTCTTCATACAAAGAGCAAACTCATCATGTCTTCTCCTATGTTGTGAGGCCTGTTTTGTTTCTCAATGTGATTTAATTCTTCTATTTTAATCCACTCTTTCACCTACAGGTTTTTTTTAAGTCCCTTCCCAGCCCACCTTTCTTTGTTAAGACAGGAACTTTTTCATATATAAACTTTGGTTTATAGTTCCATTCCCTCAGGTGAACTTTTCAAACAACATTATTCGTTGCTAACCTAGATTTTCATCATTGATTTTTTTTTTTTTTTTTTTTTTTTGGTCACTTCCTTTCCAGTGGCAAAATGGTAAATCAGTCTAAAAAGTTTAAAATTCTACTTTATGTGAAGTAAAAAGAGAGCTTCTACCTCCTGTGCTCTATCTGGTGAGGCAGACAGACCTACGGTGTTTATCCCAGTACTTTTTAGTATACCCACCCCTATTTTTCAGTTGTAGCACTGAAGACATTTGGTAGCAACTCAAAGTTGAGAAGTAGGTGGGTGAAGGAATTTATTCAGCCCTCTGCATTCTCTCCATAGTTTCGCTGGGACTTGCACATTTATGTTGGCATTTCTGTTTTCCCTAGCATAAGTGCCTAATCATTTACTACTCCTGTGCACATTTCTTTGAAACTTCTATTGGTGCATATCCATCAAGCAGCATGTTTATTTGAAAACTGTCTATTTTAGCCATCAAACCTTTATTTGCCAGGGCAACAGAGCTCCAGAAGCCTTGTAAGGCAAAGACAAGGGCAGTGCATGCTGTTCCAGCCTCTGCAGTGATGATGGGGGAGTCTGTAATCAGTCACTTTCTTATCATAGAATGGCCTGGGTTGAAAAGGACCACAATGATCATCGAGTTTCAATCCCCTGCTATGTGCAGGGTCACCAACCAGCAGACCAGGCTGCCCAGAGCCACATCCAGCCTGGCCTTGAATGCCTCCAGGGATGGGGCATCCACAACCTCCTTGGGCAACCTGTTCCAGTGCATCACCACCCTCTGAGTGAAAAACTTCCTCCTAATATCTAACCTAAACCTCCCCTGTTTCAGTTTAAAACCATTCCCCCTTGTCCTATTAGAAATAATAATAATAAAAATAAATAAAAACCATTCGCCCTTATGCCAAAGGCAATTTGCTCTTCAGCTTTCCATGTTGCTTGCAATTTATTTGAGTGATCTTCCTTTGTTTGCCTTTCTCCCAGAGCAGCAGATGGCTTTTCCTTTCAGCATATCACCAATAACCCTGTGTTTCTTTCTTCGTGCGTAGGTTGGGATCAAAAAAGTCTTCGCTGAGGTTCTTCCTTCTCACAAAGTTGCAAAGGTCCAAGAACTCCAAAATGGGAGGAGAAAGGTTGCGATGGTTGGTGATGGAGTCAATGATTCCCCTGCGCTAGCCAGGGCCGACATTGGAATTGCAATTGGAACGGGCACCGATGTTGCCATTGAAGCAGCAGATGTTGTTCTTATCCGAGTGAGCGCTGCAGTTTTGACTGCCTTCTATCACTTTCTGTAGCTCTTTTCAGTTCAGTATTCGATAGACTGCATGCAGAATACTTTCAGTGCTCTTCTGTCTTACAGAATGACTTGCTGGATGTAGTTGCCAGTATTCACTTATCGAAGAGAACAGTGCGGAGAATACGAATAAATCTGATTCTTGCCTTAATTTATAATCTGCTTGGAATACCAATAGCAGCAGGTAGGTGGTTGTCAGAGCTCAGCTTGTGGGAGACAGCAGCATGGTTGAGCTCTGTGCTGCCTCTGTCAGGATTTCCTGCTCAAGCAATTGAAGAGAGCTTCTTGGAGCATTTAAAACTCGGCAGAAGAACAAAATATATATGTATATAAATGTTTATACTGGTAGAAGAAATCTTTGATCCCCAAATTTTAAGGTCTTGGGAGCAAATACTTATATCTTAAAATGAAATCATAATTTTATTTTGTTTTACTCAACAGTATTTTGGGATTCATTTTATTATATTCAAACATAGCAATAATAAGAGAGATCATCCAACTTCTGGGTGCTCTCTCTTTTATTCACCCCAAATTTCATATTTTGTCTCACACTATTTGGTTTCTCTGCTTCTATCAGACATCTTCTCATGCTCTAAATTCCTACTTAAAACTGACTTCAAACAGCCCCCTATTCTTTTTATTTTTTTTAGTAACTTCTCCCTCATTTGCTTGTATTATTATTATTATTAATATTATGATTATACTTCTGTTGCTTTTGCTTTGTTTTGCACATGCAGAATACCTGGGAGGGTCACACAGTCTTGCCCTGTGACTGCAGTCTTGTAGTTGAATCTGTGCAAAGTCCATTCTGTGCAACTAAAGGGACATATTTAACATGTTTAACAATAAGTAAGAAAATACATGTTGATCTATTTGTGATTATAGAGGCCTCAAAAAGTCCTGTTGATCTGTTCTATAGTATGCAGGGACAAGAACATCCATACTGGAACAGACTGCCCTGGCTGATGTCTGTGTGTTCTTTCGCTAGGTGTGTTCATGCCTGCTGGTCTTGTGCTTCAGCCTTGGATGGGATCAGCTGCCATGGCAGCTTCTTCTGTGTCTGTCGTGCTGTCTTCCCTGCAGCTGAAATGGCAAGTTATCTTACACTGAGTAAATGAGCAACCATAGGCAGCTCTGCTGCTGGGATTCAAGTGAGACATTAGTTTGGGTTTTATATACCTAAAAATACCTGAGGTCCTTTAGCATGGTGGTGTCTAATTCTTTTCTGCAAAAGAGATGGACATCACTGTCATTAACATACTTGGGGTAAGACTGTTGAGCATTCTTTAGCTAGCAGCTAAAATAGTGACTGGATGCCACATGGGCAGCTGCGTTGGAGATCTAGTTCAGTAACACTTGAGCTTTTCATAGTACATTTTTGGGTGCAGCTGCAGTGGGCCTATTTTTAAGACCATTGCGAACAAACATATTTTAAAAGATCAGACTTCTTGCATTCTCTAGAAACATTCCAAACCTTCAGATATCTCTACTGTAGCTGAGGTCCTTTTGTGGTGCATAGTACTAATGAACTAATGAAGGAAATCTATTACTGCATCACGATTGTGACCATGCTTCCTTGCACTGACTTCTTGATACAGACTATCTTTTCTCTTTCTCAGCTATAAGAAGCCAGACACAGAAAGTTATGAAGCTCAAGCTCAAGGCTGCATGAAGCCGCTTACCCCTTCCCAAATCAGTGTTCATATTGGAATGGATGACAGGAGGAGGGATTCATCCAGATCGGCTCCGTGGGATCAAATTAGCCAAGTGTCTCTTTCTTCCTTGACTTCAGACAAGCTGCCGAGACATAATGGGTTTTTTGAGGAGGAAGGGGACAAGTGGTCACTGCTGATGAATGGAGGAGATGAAGAACAGTACATCTGAAGTGTTGTGTTCTCAGTACAGCACGGAATGTTCCACCTCACCAGTGACAACAGGGACTGAGTCATGTCATCAAGAGCCTCAAGGTTTTAAGTGAAATTATTCCTTTGGCTCATAAAACAATTACAGTTCAGTTTTGTGTTGTATAGATTGTGGATTTTTTCAGGTCACCAGTTATTCCTAGTCACTGAAAGAATCTGTGACTCTACTGTGCTTATTTGCACGTATCAATTAGTGAAATAATGTACAATAGTAATTTTCAGAGTCTAATAGAGTTTCTGTCTTTTGGACTGTCTGCTGGGCACCTTTGGCACCTCCAAAATCTCCGCCCATGAGGAAATATCCACTGCATAAGGAGCTCTGTGGTTGGAATGCATGGAATCCTAACTAGTCATGTCATTGTGGGAGCACTTTATACTTAGGATTCATGTGCATCTTCTTGGACCAAAAAAACTGCAGTGTTTCACTGACTATATCTCTCTGAAAAGTATCTTTCAGAGACTTTCACTTTCTTTCAACTATCAAACTCTTTTGATGCATGTTTTTCACAGCTGAACTTGTTCTGTGATTCCCACTGCTCTCTTAGACTTTCTCATTTGCTCCATAGGAGCTCTTTTTTCTTCCCTTTCTCCAAACAAGACCTCTTCTATGATTTATTACTATGTTTACAGATTATCCCTGTTTGGGATAAATTCCTTTAAGTCACTAGCAATTTTCCATCTTAAGGAAACCCACAAAGGCAGAGCAATTAGTGATCTGAGTTAGTACATAATTTTCCTGTGGATATCTTGCATGATCCCTCAAAGTCCTGGATAGTTGGCAGTTGGCAGTCTGTTTCCTCTGACCAAGTGAAGAATTTCTGTCAGTGTGAACGAAGCTGGCAGTTACCATGGAGTGACTGGAAGCAGAACTGTGTCTACAGTTGGTGTGACTCCAGCATGGCTGGATGAAGTGAGTTCATTACATAAATCAGCTTACAACCAGCTTCCTGGTTGCTTGAAGTGCAGCCATGAGGTTAAAAAGGTTGAAAAGTGGCCTTAAAATAATGTGGGAAGTAACACTTCCTGATGACAGAAGGGTATGAAGATCTATAATAGCTTGAATTTTAAGGTAAATGGATTTCTGTGTTATCAATTGGTTTCAACTTCCTTTTTTGCTCTAGTTTAATAAGAAATTAAGGTGCTGAGCAACTCATCTTCCACTTCAGTGTCTTTACCAAAGCTGGCAGTAGCTTTATCACTCTGAGTGTTGAATTCAACCCTTAACACCATTTAGAGTCGGGACAATAGGAACCAACTGCTGAAGTGCACTGGACCTGGCTCTCTGGTGCTGCACTGCTGAACTGTGGGACTCTGAAGTAGGCAGCCCAGAGTTTTATATTCTGATTTGAGAAATGAAAGAACAGGAATTACTGCACCAAGCAATACGAGGTAACGTTCACTGACTTAAATACAGAGTGGTTTCAAACAAGGATTCAAGTCCCACTCCTAATTTTTTTGTTGTTTGTTTTTACAAGACCCTGAAGCACCAGGCAGGTCTTCCTTTTCTCTCTTCCTCTTAATATTACTTTTGAGCTGTCACGAGAAAACATCAACAGCATGGTCTAAAATACTCATGTTTTAAAACTGTAAAATCTCCTTATACAGAGAGATGTGCAGAGATGACTTCCACAGCACTCACACTTCTCAGACATGCCATAAATGCCTTTACGTGGCCGTTAGGGGAAGTCTACTGTTTCACTATTTTATGTTTTCTTACCAGTCCTTACAGTAAAAAAAAATATGGTGTTTTTTTTTTAAACAAATAAAACTTGTGTCTTGGCTTATTTTTTTTTTCTGTACCCTTCAAAAAATACAACCTACCGAACAACCACATATAAACAGTAATTGATGGACTGTAGGATGTATGTGCAAAATGCCACTGCCAACAAGCAGTGCAGTTTGTATAGCATGCTGTACAAGTCCCTGATCTTGACTTAGTGTGCTTGGCTCTGACAAAAATAAAACCAAGAAATTCAGTCTATTAATCTGTTCTGGTGGATCACATCCTTGTGTTGTTGGAAGTTGCAAGAGCTTTTCTGATAGATTTCAGCAGAACTAAGACTTACTTGATTCTATTGTTGACTTAATCTTCACTTTTTGAAAGCTTGGACCAGTCAACTGGTGAGATTAGTCTTCTGCTCATCAACACAACAGGTACGAAAAATAGCTTATGTCTAAGATCATAGTGTGCATATTCCAAATTACAGTTTATGTGGGATAAGAAAATCACAGAATCGCAGAATCACCAAGGTTGGAAAAGACCTACAAGATCATCCAGTCCAACCATCCACCCATCACTAGTAGCTCTCACTAAATCATATCCCTCAACACAACATCCAAACGTTCCTTGTACACCTCCAGGGTCGGTGACTCCACCACCTCCCTGGGCAGCCCATTCCATGCCTGACCACTCTTTCAGAAAAGCAGTATTTCCTAACGTCTGGCCTGAATCTCCCCTGGCACAGCTTGAAGCCATTCCCTCTCGTCCTATCACCAGTTACATGAGAGAAGAGGCCAAACCCCAGCTCACTGCAATCTCCCTTCAGGTAGTTATAGACAGCAATGAGGTCTCCCCTAAGCCTCCTCCAGACTGAACAATCCCAGCTCCTTCAGCTGCTCCTCATAAAGCCCGTGCTCCAGACCCCTTACCAGCTTTGTGATCTGGTTCACAAAGCAGGGAAAAAGAACAGTGTTGTACTGTGCGTTGAGGCAGGTGAGATTGAAGGCTTGTTGAAGGATGGAATTAGGATTCCAAGCCATCTTGAGATATTGGACAAAGAAATTAGAAGTTAGCTGAGCAGAAAGATGTCAGGTAGGTGGTTTGTGTTTTCTTGGTGACCTGTTCTAACAACACTGGTGCTGCACAATGGAACAGATACATGGTGGTGTATAAACATTGTCATCTATATGATGTAAAACAGCTGTTCAGCTCTGGTGAGGCATCAGCTGAAGTAGCAGGTCTGGTTTTGTGCTATATTTGTTAGGAAATGTAAGCAGTTCAGAAAGCAGCAATGAGATTGAAGTGAAATCAAGAAAACATCTGGATGCAAGTACCTGAGAATGAGAAATGTAAGGAGATAGATAGTTTCAGTAGGTTTCTCAGCAGCATCCTACAAGTCTTCAAACACGAAGAGAACAATTGAGTCCTTTCATCTTTTCAGTGTCTTATGTCCACGGTGGGTAGAAGAAAAATTAAGAAGCTTATGGATTTGAGGAAGATTTAGATCAGTCACTGAGGAGGAACTAGCAGAAAGAGATTATCAAGGCAGGCTCTTGAGCTGTGTGACAATTGGGCATGTGCGTGTTGGGAAATGCTTCAGGCAGAGGTGAGTCCTGTCTCAACATTCTCTCCAGCTCTGTTGTCTCTTATTTCTATGACACTGACGTGGGCTGGCATGTTAACTGAGCAGAGGACTCTAGGCTGAGCACACTGTGCTGCTCTCAAGAGGGGCCAAAAGGCTGGAAGAAAGATTAGCTTTCAGTTTACTTAATACATTGAAATTAACTGGAAAATATGTTCGTATTTAGTAACTATTTGCACAGTGTCTTAAAATGTAAGCTCCTGTGAAACATGGATGAAAGAACGTGAAGAAGTTAGGCTGGGTACATACACTCAAGAGAAACAAATGTAAGTCCTGACGCTCATGATGATGTGCTCTTGTTAAACCTGAGCTGACTCACCAGAGGGATGCATGAGGTGGAGCACCATATTCACATTTCTGCATGACATAATCAAGAGCCTTCCTTCTCTCTGACAGGGAAACCGGCCTACAGAGCCCTGATACAGCAGAGTGCTGGCCTGAAACCAATGTTCTGTGGGACCTGGAGCCAGAAACAGGATCACGGTTTCAGGAAAGACCCTGAAAGGAAGGGCTCTTCTTAAAGGTAATCATTAAGGTTGGAAAAAGCCTCTAAGATCTAGTCCAACCATCAAATCAATTTTGTTCTTAAGTGTGCAAATGTCTCAAGTTCCCCCAGTATGACTTGGGTGCTACAGATCTGAGGCTAAAAATTCATACATTGGATGATACATATAGAAATGCCCCAGCCATACTGGAGAGGTGACGTTGTTTTCTGTAAGTCTCTACCACTGTCTGAGTATTAGTTTATTTGTCTTGGGAAAAGTGTAGTGTCCATTTTCACACACATATATATTATATATATATGTATTAGTGAACAAAGAAGACATCTCATGGATAGCATCTGTCTAATGGATAAGATCTATCTAATGGGTCTTATAAGATCTAATATATCTTATCCATTCCTGTATGAGAAAGGCTGAGAGACCTGGGACTGTTTAGCCTGGAGAAGAGAAGGCTGAGAGTGGATCTCATCACTGCTTAGAAACATTTAAAGTGAAGGAAGTCAAGTCAATGGGGTGCACTCTTTTAGGTGGTGAGCAGCAATAGAACGGGCAGAAACTAGGATGCAGGAAGTTCCACTCTAACACAAGGAAGAACTTCTTAACTGTCAGAGTGATGGACACTGGAACTGCCCAGTTCAGGCTGCCCAGAGAGGTCATGGAGTCTCCTTCTCTGGAGATACTCAAGACCCATCTGGACACCTACCTGTGCAACCTGCTGTAGGGAACCTACTTTAGCAGGGGTTGACTTGATGATCTCTAGAAGTCCCTTCCCTATAATTCTGTGGTAAGTTTGGTCTCCATGTGATTTTTAGAGCAATAGATCTGGAGCATTGTTTATGCAACGTTTTCCAACCATTTTCTTTCTCATGCTGTAGTTTTGCCAGAAAATTTTTGGTGCCCTATGGTCACGGAAAACAAATGATTGCATTTGATGTCTGGAGTATCTCCCCTGTGATGACAGTCTGAAGGAGCTGAGTTCATTCAGTCTGGAGAAAAAAAGGCTGTGGGAAGACTTCACTGCAGCTTTCTAACATTTAAAAGAAGATTATAAAAAGGAGGGAAATCAACTTTTTACAGTGATAGGACAAGGGGGAATGGTTTTAAACTAAAGGAGGGAAGATTTAGACTAGATGTCAGAGGGAAGTTTTTCACAGAGAGGGTGGTGAGGCCCTGACAAAAGTTGCCCAGAGAAGCTGTGGATGCCCATCCCTGGAGGGGTTCAAGGCCAGGTTGGATGGGGCCCTGGGCAGCCTGATCTTAGTGCCTGATCTAGTGGTTGACAAACCTGCCAATGGCAAGGGGTTGGAACTAGATGATCTTTGGTCTTTCCAAACCAAGTCATTCTATGATTCTATGATTTGTTTAATTTCCTCCTCCCTTCCCATTTTCCAAAAGCAAACAAACAACTTGCTTTCTCTGCAGGCTTTTTGTCTAAACAACCTTACAGGGATTGTATTTTCTCTGAATGGACTTGTGTGTGAAGAGCACAAATGAGTCACTGGTGAAATAATCCGATGGGTTGGAGGATGATAAATCGGCTAACACTGAAATGTCATGTTTCATCTGCTAAGATACCAGCAGTGACTTGTGCTGGTTTTCAGTGGGAAATGATTCGAGAGCCACAACAAATGAAGAAGTGGTGAAGAGCAGAGCATCCTGCCCAGAGCTTTGCTTCCCAGAGAAGCTGTGGGTGCCCCATCCCTTGAGGCACTCAAGGCCAGGTTGGAAGGGGTCCTGGATGGCACTGCCCATGACGGGGAGTTGAAACTGGACAATCTTTGAGGTTCCTTCTGACCCAAGCCATTCTATGACTCTGTTCTGATTCTTGCTGTCCTGCTTGCATGTGAGTCGTCCCGGATAGGCACAAACATTGGAGGAGAGAGATGGATTCTTCCCTTGTTTCGTGTTAAAATCACTGAGACTTGGCAGACCCATCCACAGTCTCTCTGAACAACACTCTGATTTTTGTCAGCTTTTTATGCATAAAAGGGTGATTTCTAATGATTCCTCAGGTGCTACAGAGGAAGGGAAAGGGATTTCCCATGAGGATATGTTTGTTGCTTTCACCACTTGGGCATTCAGCTCCCCTGGGACATGTGTGATAGTTCACAGAATCACAGAATCACAGAATTGTAGGGGTTGGAAGGGACCTCCAGGGATCATCGTGTCCAACCCCCCTGCCAAAGCAGGTTCCCTACAGCAGGTCGCACAGGTCGGCATCCAGGCAGGTCTTGAACATCTCCAGAGAAGGAGACTCCACCACCTCCCTGGGCAGCCTGTTCCAGTGAGTGCTGTTTTTCAGCTGTTCATTACTGGTTACTGTTGGTGAGTGCTGCAGCCAGGAGCCAGGTGGCTGCAAGGGCTGATGGACCACGAGATGTCACTGCAGGCTCAGCTCCAGCCACAGAATCCCCTTTATTTGCAAAGCATCTGAAAATCTAACACAGTCAATGCTCATTAGCACCAAGGGGGGAAAAGTGAAAAAGGGGCAGTTTAAGCCAAAGGATAGAGTGTGCTTAAAATTTGGGTTTGACTTGACATTATCAAGCTGGGGAACAGAAGATTTCAGGCCAATGTTGATTTATTTGGAGCTCTGAATTGCTGCCTTGTTTGTATTATCTGACAGCTAAGTGATTCCTGAGCTCCTTGCTTGTTGTCTGCTGAGATTAGCGTTAGCTTTCTTTTCTGTTTTCCTTTGACAAGCTGAGATCTCACAAGATAAGCAGGAAAGCTGAGCATCGTGCACCTGAGCTGTGTGCTCAGCACCAACCCATACCTTCAGGTGGGATTTAGAATCCCCAGGTACCAGGGGTGCATGGGATATGCCAGCAGTCTGTGTCATCCCTGGGTGGGATCATTGGCACTGCCACATGTGCATGGTACCAGCCACAGCGTGCCTCCAGCACTATCCCTGCGTGGGCAACAGCTGTTTTTCTGGACCCCCTGCAAGCCCACAGGCTGCAAAATTATCTGGTTGCTGTGAAAAGGCAGCAAAACCTTTGGCTTTCTTACAGGACCCGGCAGCAGACCATCATGCAGCAAGGGGATGGACGTGTGGCACCTGCGGCTGCGTGCAGCACTTGTCACAGCGGTGCTGCTGTTCCCTGTGAGGGTTA